TGTATTGTAAAGTTGTGTGAATTTTTCAATAAATTCTTTTGTCAAAACCACTTGCAATCTGATTCATAGCTGAGCGCCTTGCCGCCGGTTACATTAGTTCAACCTCAATCAATGTATGAAAAAAAATTCTGTAGCAAACAGAAATAAATATTTTAGCATTAATATTGGAAGCTGAGCTAAATAAAGCATCAATAATAATAAAGTTATTGGAGCCATACTTCTTCCTTTTCTTTTCTTCTTTCTCTGTCATCTCTTTCTCTTTTCTTTTCCCTGTAATATTAAAACGATATTTTTTTAACAGAATAAAATTTCATACCCTATACATGAGCATACCACCTTTATTTGACACCCTTCTTGAGTATCTACAGTAATATAATAATATTATTTACCCCAAAGGAGTCTTGTTTTGGATGGCTCTTCATCAATAAAGGTTACTGCATATTTTCTTGTATTACAACTTGCTTGTATTTCAAACTTCAGTTGGTTTTTATTTTTATTATTTGTTTTGCCAATCATGCCTGGGAACAGGGTTTTATGTAAATTACCCACTCAATTTACTTAGATTAACTGTAATAATACAATATTAGCATAATTTCAGACTTGAATATAGAGTTTTGCTTGCTGTGATTGGTTGAATAACCAGTGATTCTGAGACAATAATCACTGTTCAAGTGGTGATTATGAGGTTTCCAAAGTTGGCTAGAGCGGAAGTAATACAAAAACGTTTTTTAATCCTGAATTTCAACTTTTCTCTGATATTCAAGTCTAAAATTATACTAAAACAATTATTCCATCAGGCTCAGTGATTGTGGGAACTATTTACTTCGCAGCTCAAACACTCATGGCTTGGTAAATATTCCACCTATAATCACTTCACCTTTGACCAATATTTGTTAAATAAGCATAATAATATAGATTTACGGTACCTTCTCTCCCCACTCTTATCTCTATGCTTTCTTGATTCATCCTAAACATGTTAAAAATTACAATATAACAAAACCATAAGACAACATCTGGTTACATTGAAAGACAAGTTAACAGTCATATTTGCACCATTGCTATTGTAAATTAAAAAGACTCATACTATAAGGGTAGTGAGTTAAAAGGGGATCTACAGACAGGCTCTTTCACCTACATCTTGCATTTTAATGTCTCTGAAAGCATGCATAGCATAAAGGAATCGACAATATTGAATGCTAATATACAAAGTGTGATTCTGATACATTTTCTTAACCAAGACGTATAGACTTACATGTTCCCTTTCTTTTCTCCTGTCCCTGTGATCCCGTTCTCTTGACTTTTCCCTGCACAACATAAATAATCACGTAAGCTTCTCACATGTATATAGTATATACCTCTTAACCATTTATTTATAAGAATTGAGTCTGCCTAAAATGCCCAGGGGAAAACTCTGGAGTAAAAGTATCAGGACTGGTATGCTTGTCGAAAATTTTCAAAAAATACCCCTAAAAATATTAGAAGCCTTTTTGAGGTATCCGATTATTTCGCCTACGCATCATTTCGCCTACCGAAGTTCGCCTACGCTTTATTCGTTTCGCCTACCAAAGTTTACTTAGCTATAATTACACTGT